TGTGTTATTCACTTACGAGGGTCTAGTTTCAATTAATATTGTTTTATAACTTGATTATTATATTACATAATTTAATCTTACAGAATATCGAACATTCTAACTCCAACAAAATGCAAAATATGGAACTCTAATGAAAAATGAACCTCTTATGATTAATAATTCGAAAGAAAAACGCAAAAATATAACAAACTTTACTTTGTAACAAACGATATCTGCCCAAACAATGCTTCCTCACAAGCAGATAACGTAAGCAATTACATACATTTTCGATATTTTTTATCGCACAAGTGCGATATGAAGTTATATATACTTTTAGAAGGTCTAGAATTGATCAATTGCGATTCATCGTACGACCTGCACAATCGATTTGCTCCCCAAGAAAAACAGTAAGTTCTAACATTCATCTAATTTTTTTTTTTAATAAAGACTGAAAATCTAAATTAATAGATAATAAACTAGTTATAAAATTATATATTGATATTATATCAATAATAAAGTCTTTTTTGTTTCATTAATTTTGTCACTTAAAAGAGAAATTAAATTGACAATTTTTATTAAAAGTATTATTATAATATAATGTTATATTTTATATCGCAAGCGCGTATAGAAGATATTTTGTAGATATATTATAAGAAATAATAATTACAGAAAATATTGGCAAAATGAAATTCGTTATTTTCATTATTTTCGTTATGTTTGCTATGGCTGTGGTTGCTTATGAAGGATGTATTTCTGTAAATGGTCCCGTAAGTATTTATATATATTTTATGAAAAAGAATAATTTTTCACATTATGAAGATAGACAAAGAAAACAATGTTAGAATTTAAAATGTAATTCATGATTTGTTTTCTGTACATAATTTACACATTCTTATTAAGATTATAAAGAAATGTTACATTTGTGTGCAAAATCATAATCTTGTGCAATCTTTTTCAGTGCAACAGTGACGATGATCGTTGTTGTAAATCATCATTAGTATGCGTCAAAATTTTTCAACGTTGCATGCCGTACTTATTATAATCATAAATAATAAGCTCGACCAGGACTTCGGGTATAATAGAACTACTATTTAATCTTGCATTTCATGTAAAAATATGTGAGAATTTACACAATAATTGAAAATATACTTGCTTAGTCATTATGCAGCAAATATTCTACGTGTCTCAATGACCAAGGACTCTTCTTATTATTAACTAAAATAACCTTCAAATGATACAAGAGTGCGAATTCGCACCGTGAAAATTTTCGAATTGTTGATATTTACACAAAGTTATCTGTCGCGGCACCGGCACCAGTGTTCCATTAGTGGGTGTTCGAAAGAAGTGTATCATTTGAAGGTTAAAATTGATTTGTAACAGCAAAAATAATTTATTTTATAATAATAATAATATTTATTTTATTATAATAATATTAATATATAATAATTTGTTATTATAATAATATTTATATAATAATTTATTATAATAATATTATATTATATATACATATATATATATAATATAATATTATATTAATATTAATATATAATAATATAATAATATTTATTTTATGAAATTGCAGCTAATTTTTTTGCTTGATTTGGTTAATGCTACATGAAAGCATCAACTTTTAGCTTTAAAATGCATTTTGGTTCGACATTACGATATGGTTTCTTGTTTCCAAGATATAGCAATTTATAAATACATATAGTATTTTTATTCAAGTAACATTATCCGACAAAATTTAATTTTTTCTTTCATCACAAGAGTAAATAGTTATTTTTTATTTATTTTTGCTTGTTGAATATGAATATGGCAAAAGTTGACTACCACGTTACAATTTTCAGAAAAATGGTATCATCATTTTCGGCCCTTTTGACGCATTTTTCTCAAAATTTATCTATAAAAATAAAAAAATACGTACGTCATGAGATTACTGTAAAGGAATAATGAATATTAATTCCAAGGATTAGAATAAACAGACGCAAATGTTAAAAACGTGGAGACACAAAAGCTGGCGCGGTGCGCCTTCTGTCGCTAACGGACCCCTGCGGCTCTTTATAGGACAATGCTAGACGGGGACAATACAAAGAGCCCGCAAATTGGCTTCGATGGTTCGTAGACAGGCCGCCATTCGGGCAAATCAGCGCCGCGAGGTTACGGTCGTCAAATCAATATTTGCACCTCGCCACCCTCGCACACAGGGAACCCGGAGTGCAAAGTCAGGCGTGTCGGAATTAGCGAAGAAGGAAGGAAGGAAGGAAGGAGGGAGGGAGGGAGAGAGAGTAAAAGGAGGGTTTGGACCCGGCGGTTAGGAATGACGACGGCGGCGAGGAGAGGGCGCATGGAGGTGGAACATGAAGATGCGGGGTGGTGGGTGCTACGCGGTTGGTGGCGTTGGAAATCGGTGGTAAACTGAATTAACCCCCGTGTTGACCCGCGACCGTATGTTACCAATGACTTTCTACTACCGTTGCCGGAGCCGCCGCACGGATAGAGTCCGTTATAATCTGAGCATTGCTCGCAGAATGGAAAAGGGGAACGATCGAGGTGGCCCGTCAATGCCCCGGGAATATGCCTGTGCAAATGTTATGCTTGCCGATCGTTCGTGCATCGCATCGGCTGCCGCTCGCGCGAAAGACTTGTTGGATTTGTTGTGCGCCTCCGAACGCCGTCGAACTCGCCGAAACAAGAACACGCAGCAACCTTTTACTTTTGCGTATTAAAGCGGCGGAAGCCCGGGCTTCCGTTCGGCTGCAGCTGAATTCGAGCACGCCAACCTTCCAGCAATTTTTGGTATGTAATGCAGTCTGCAGCACATCGATCACGCCGAACGATTACGTTCTCGCGTTTTGGCTTTTTCGTGTCGACGAGCGACAGCACGAACAGACGCTCGGACGATAAGTTCTTTGAGTTTGATGCCTTTCAAGTTTGCAACACGGTTTAACGCCACCGATATTACAAGAAAATGTGCCGAGACGTCAAGAAACGTTTCCCCTTTGCAGTTACGTGAAGGCGAAAGAAGTTTACTGACAACGAATATAAGTATTCTATCTGATAAATAAATTTATCAGAGAATAAGTATATGGATATATACATATATAAAACTTTTTGACATTCCCTTGTTCTCTATTTGTTAGCTTCCATCGAACGTAGAATAAACTCGTAGAATAAATTTCTCAAATCCGATTATATACAATGCAAAATTACGTGAAAGGCTACATCCCTGAATTATCATTTAATTGGTAAAGATTTATTGTACATAAAAAAGCAAAATCTTCTTTTTATTTTATGTACTCAATATTTTTTTACGCGAATCGTAAAAGTAATTTTCGTGGCTTGACAAATAAATATCCTGATCAGCGCGCAAGTCGTGCCCCCCTCCCCCCTCTGATTTAATAAATTTCTTCTTTTCTTATCGTTACGTCGCGAGAATTTCTTCGATTTAGGCCGAGGCGAAGAAGCCAACTACTGACCACAACTCAAATCAACGCAGGGACGCACGCTGTTTGCTATTTCCCCACGGAATCGCACGGGGAGTCGCAGAAAGCCAGTGAAACTGTCACGTCCCGGCGCACCGGAGCCGGGTATAGGTGTTCGTTGATTGAGAGTAATCTGTTTTGTTAATTGCAAGGTCCGCAGAGCCCGATACCTGCGGTTGCGTTGTGCTGCGTTCAGCATTACAAACTCTCCTACTGGCAGCAGTAGTCGCTTCCACCTCCCATCCTGGGTGGTATAGACCCGTCCGTCCACCTCCCGTTCCTCCTCACATCCTGGGCAGGCTCAACAACATTCGCCGACCGCAGAGTGTGAGCCTGTCGTGGAGAACGGAGCGAGGAGACTATACGGGGGTCGGTTAACCGACTAATTGCAATACTGACGCGTCCGTTCGCAGTATTTGTGAAATTGCGATCATATCCGCCGTCCTTGCGACGCCTATCACCGGGGTATAATAGGCGCTATCCGCGCGCGCCCCGTAACCACATCCCCTCCCGCCGCCCCCCCCGTCCCCCTCCGCGAACGCACGTTAATGGACCGTCCAAAGCGAAATTCAGCGTTTTTTTTTGTATTTTTATTCCGACCGGGCCGCGTCATTTTTCAGAGAGCATGTCCGCTCCGCTCGGTTTACAACAAGACCCGACGAGAAAAATGTAGCGCGATTGTTATTGCTGCAGCAAACCGACGCGCGATCGACGCGCGTAAATGCAGGAAGTCGAGAAAGGAAACTGGTTTGGTCGTCGCGCTGATGAATACAATGCAATCACTCTTTTTTATTCCCGGCAGTTAGCGAAAACTCCATTTCGTATGAAAAGTGAATATTTCATTTGCAAGGGTACTTCGAAGTCCTATCCGTTCCACGCAATGTGGAAGCGAGACAATTAACGCGAGCCATAAGTTCTCTCTCTCTCTCTCTCTCTCTCACTCTCTCTTGAACAAAGGATAACGCGACCGTACTTTGCATAATATAAGAAATTTAAATATAATGTAGAGCGTGTCGTAAAGAACTTTGTGTGATGCTACAGCGCAAATTTACATCACTACAGGTTTCTTCATCCAGTAACTTTATAAGTCAACCAAATTGTGCTTATGATTCGTTTACGACTTTGCTCAGAGACGTTTTAGACTTGAGATCATTCTCTTTCCCTAGTTACACGTAATACGAGAATAATCATCTCCGCTAACGAGGAAACTTCCCGTAGCTTCCCTTAAACTCAGAATGAGCTCCGACATTCTTGGGATAAATAGTTACGTTTATACGATTATCAAAATTTTAAACAGTCTTACGGTTGCCTTCCACCGGAATATTTCAGAGCTAATAGAAGCCAGTTTTATGTCTCTATTTTCTCTCGCAATTGGTGTTTATTCAAAATTAAAAAAAAAAATGAGATCTCTCGATCTCAGATGAGATATTTAAGTTCAATGTTTTATGTATCAATGGAGACAAGAAGAAAATGAAACAGCAGCACTCAGGGCTTTCAACGTTGTCAAAGGTATACGCTCGAGAAGCTAAATGTACTCACCAGTCGTGTACATAGCGACACCCTTCAGGGTTACCGGCTCGAGGATGGCAGGCTCGCTCCTCCCCTTCGCATTAATCGCGTAGAGGAAAAGTCGATAGCTCCTTCCCGTCGTTAGTCCCGCGACCTCGAATGTCGGCCCGTTGGGGCCCGCCGGCACGGTTTTATTTAGGAGAATCGGACCTCCGTCCTCGTCGGACACGACCTCCAGCTGATAACTGTATATCGGAAGACCTCCGTCGTAGCCCTCCAGGCACCGGACCACCAATCCCGTCCCCGACTTCGTGCCAAGCTCCTCCATGTCCAGAGGCGCTGACATCTCCGTGGCGCTGCAATTGTGAAGAGCGTACGGGCGACCCGCGGCTATAACCTGAAACAAGCAGATCCGGAGATAAAGCGTGTATTTGCATCAGTCGACCAATACGCCGCTCTTTATTGCAACTCCCAGCCCCGCGAGGAAAAAGTCTGCAGGCGGACCCCCCGAGCGGGGTCCAGACGCGGTCTTAATACCGCTCTATATACCGCATAATACCACCGCATACAATTGCATATAGTTTAACAATATAGTTTAACCGCTATGTTTACATCGTGCATTCCCCTATATATCGCAGTTTTCACAATAGGGGAAAGAGCGATCGATCTTTCCAGCAGCGGCAGTAAACGACTTTACACACGTTCGAAGACTCATATGCATGTCAAATACGAGCACAGTTTGTATCGTCAAAGAAAGCAACCCCCCCGCATTCTTTGTCGATGCCGTCGATCGATCAAAATGAAAATGTATGGAGCATAGTGATGCCGGAGTATACAATGCATGAAATTTATGAAGGAAATAGCTAGCAACATGACGCACGTCGTGTAAATACTGGAATATTTGAGGCATGCGGTACATATAGGTATATTAACTTTGAAAAAAATGTATATATACATATACATTTATATATATATATATATATATATATATATATATATACCTATATATATGGATAATTTAATCATTTTTAGATCAAATATATCGATATGACTAAGAATCGTGGTTGAGTGAGCGTTTCAATCTAATCAAGAAAATCTCTCGATATCAGATAGAGATAAAAATTCTACATTATGATTACCTAACGCTAAAACGCCATTTCTCGTAAGATTTTCAGAGTTACTAACAGAATTCCTTTTTATAGCGTGCTAAGCAATCTAACATGTGCTATATAATTCTCGCACGTGAAATAGCGTCTGAAAATAAAAAGATTAGCAAGAAATGTTCACCGAGAATACGCTTCGGGATTTAACAGAAATTAATTTTATATTAAGAACAATTCATAAACTATATTAATAAAGAAATAAATTTGTCATGTAGAAAGTTGAAATATAAACGATATTCTATAAATCGAAATTGTATATAAACCGGAATAAAATCTGCACAAAGTTAAATAAAGTTTTGTACGTTTACGTACGATCGACATATTCTAAATTTATATAACATCGTTTATGACACAAATACGAGATTTTCTTATTTTTTATGAAAATTTGCCATAGATATATCCATTACGTTGATATATTGTGTTACCGATTAACTGGTGTACCACATATGATCTATTTTCAGGAAAGCGATAATATTGTAATTTCATTATTAATTTTACGTTTCCCGCAAAAGATTTCAAATATAGAATGACACATTGGATCAAATTTCAATAACAGATTATTTCATATTTGAGGATGAACTTTTCTTAGCAGAATTATTGAAAATATAGTCATTTATTTTTCGTATTTCCGATATTTTCCGATATTTTATCCATCTTTGTAATTAAATCTGTTTCAAATTAAACTTCTATTTAAGGTTTATTTAAAAATTAATTCAAAAATATGGCTTTGTCATCTATTTGCTTCCCAAATTTATTTCGCAAGAAACTTGCCGTTTTTAATACTGAATAATGACTAATGCGTTGATAGTTGAATGTGAAATAAAATGAAATTTAAATTGACGAAGAATCAATTATTATTATACGGCGCGACAAAGAAGAAGTCATCACTGTATATTTAAATAAAAGCGATTGCGTCTACACGTATTTCGATACACGTTCGCATACACGTTAAGCTGAAAGCTCGGGATTCTTCAATCGCACGTTGGAAATCGCGTATAAGTCGTCGAAAAACGGTAAAGGAGTGAAAAGGTACAGGCGGAAAAGTACTTGCCTGAAAAAGGCAAGGTGTTCGTTGCTTGCCAACCTGGTTGCTCGCCCAGCACGCCACCGTACCGTAATCCATTTCCGTGGCCGGGGTGTAGTTCAGTCTGAATCCACGAAACTGCTCGTACTCTCTCTGGCCGTCCGGCGCGCCGGGCGCCGATACGTGGGAGTAGATACGCGAGTGCGGTACCTCGACGAGCTCGCCGGAATTATTGAATGTCCAATGGAAAGTCAATGGCGCCGGATGGCTCTCCACGGAGCACACTAACGACACGGTCTCCTGTTTCAAAGCGCCCACCACCACCTCGCTCTTGCCCTCCTTGCACACCGGCGCATCTGCAAACAAAGTCGTCGGTACTTTGCGAACGGCGTGGCCCTTTCTCAGCGGAACAACGATGGAGTAACGCGAAGTTTGAAGTACAGGGTGATTTATGGCCCGCCCGTCAAGATTAATGTATAACAAAGTGTATGCAAGTCGACGTTCTTCTGCCCCGAGAAATTTCATTGTCCGATGATAAGCATAAAAAGCTATTCTGATTAATTTATGCTTCCCCCGGGTCGCGCACGTATAATAATCGTAAATCAATCAGCGTTCCATTCTTGTCGTATACGGAATAATACTAACGGCTTACTAATACTAATTTAAATGGGATATTCGACGTTTCTGTTTCGTTGCACCGGTTGCGTCACGTCGATGCTCGCGTGCGCGGCGCTCGAGATCCGCGAGTGTCAAACGGAAGAAGAAGCAGCTCGACGCCGTTCAGCCGGCGTTGCAGCACGTTCGATCGATAGTCTAATAGGAAATTCCCTTGACACCGGTATTTGCGATAGGCCATGACACGCGGAAGTCCCACACGGCGGGGAGTGATGATTTACGACCGAAGGCTAGGAATCACGGATAGAGAGACTGTCTGGTTGCAATTTGATACAGTCTATGCGCGATACTAAATTAATTGCCAAGATGAGAAGTTGGAGAGATGTGCGGCGTTACGGGCGTACATACGTATATACATATCGACGTATCATCCGGAGCGATACGTCTGTTTACTAAAGGATGATATCTTACGTTAGACGCCTTGGAATAACGTCCGCTCTCCAAGTTCGCGGATAAGAGAGACAGTGCAGGTGGAGAAATCAGGTCGATCTCGTCGCTTAACGCGACGTATTTCCGGAGTGAAAATCACTTCGTGAAATGCCATAGGGTGCTCGCTTGGACACGTCTCTCCCGGTACGATCTTACGTTTCCCTTAGAAACCGAGAATGTGATCGGGGATCGTTTATTTTCTTTAAACATCCCTCAACGTAGCCGTCTTATTTGATTCACCTTCCATTCGAAAAGATAATATTTTTATGAAAATTCGTTATTTCATCGTGCCGCTATTCGAACGATTTAGGAAAAACGTGACGAGAGACAATTTTATACTTCACGTGTTTTTAAGGAAGATATAACTTATATAACTTCGCAATTTCTGCAAACAAATTGTGAGGTCAATGTTTGTCTCGCTTGTAAAACATTCAACAAACTATGTCGTTCTTTTCTCGATTCCAACGAAAACGGATTAAATGTTTCATAATAAATGTTCAGAAGCCGCGGAAATCGAGTTACATGTGTCTGCTAACATCGATGGCCAACTCTCAATCAATTCTCGTTCATTTATTTAACTCCACGATCAATATACGAAGATTTAAAAATAAATTATACCACTGAAAATTGTATCGATGCAAAGACATATATTTAAGTTTAAAAATAAAAATAAAAATTATTAATGACAAGTACATAATTATAATTATTAGATACGTGTATTATTATACATATTTATATTTGCGACACAGAGAATTGCTGCCGTTATAATAGAGCACGCGTAAATTTTAATTTCTAATTCTTATTAGATTCAAAGTTATCAAGATTTGAATATACTTGCACACATATGTATAATAATGGATGTTATAGCAAACTTCTAAATTTGTGAATCAAATGTGTGTTGACCGGGAAGCTTTCTGTACTTATACGATTTGCATTGCAAACACTCGAAGTTGTTTAGAGGAGAATCTATAGATCTCATTACCTCATGCACACTCGTACAGAATATGTATTGCAAGAACAGTCTTAGTTTTTTTCTTAAAAACTTTATCATTCAAATTAATCCATTTAAATTAGCACTCATTTATATAGCGCATTTTTTTAAAAATATATTAGAATACATAAAACCACGTAGTAAATTTTTGTATCTTAATGCGTTCATTAAAATGTGTATTATTGATATGAATACTAATCAAATGTAATAAAATATATTATTAATATAAATATATATTATATCACGTACAGCCGAGATTTATGGCGCAATGCGATACTATAAATCACGCTGTGAGAAATAATAAGAAATATCTAAAGCGATTCATACATAAGATGAACTGGCAAGGGAAAAGTCCTTCGCATGGCATGACGCGACTCGTCACTCGTATATACACGTGCAGCATTATATCCTGACGTGATCACGGATTGTTCGAAGTCCCATGCGAATGCAAAAGATCGACGTCGTCGTCGGCTCCGCCGCCGCCGCCGCCGCCGCCGGGGAGGGTTTTGGAACATCAGCTAGGACGGATCCGCGATCTCTCCTTCAGTTACGTATATAACGCCTCCCCCGCAGTACGTCTGCTCCGGCCTAGCTTAGCACATTGCCAGCCTGCGTTCACCCACACATGAATATTCAGCCGCGCTTTACATACGCTGAATATGCATCGCGCAGTCCTTCCTTCCCTCTTAGGTCATTTACAAGATGCAGATACGCCAGGGCTGGCACCAGGGGCACCGACCATTCTAATAGAATAACCCACGTTCCGTGTTTCACAGAAAACTATACACCCTATCTGTGTGCTCCCCCCGTTCCCGTTTCCTATCCCCCCCTGCTCCCCCCCCTGCCCTTCTTTATCCACCCAACACCCTTCCGTCTCATCCCCGACTTAACCGAGTCGGGTTCGTTTCTCGTGCGTTCGACAAACGCTGTATACTTGCCCCCTGATGTGCACACCGCGCGGAGTTGCTTACCATCGATTAAGTAATTATCGAGGGATCGCATAGGTGCGAGAGCGAGAGCGGGAAATTGGGGAGCCGCGCAACGTTATACGAAGAACATACGCTCCGTTGCGCAATTATACACGGCATTGTTTGCCGGCGGGTCAATTATATCGATCGGCGAGACAATTCGACTGTTAATTATACGACGACTTGTTACAATCGCGCCATCCTCTGCACACTTACACATTATCTGGAGAGACACCGGATTGCTGGCCGTCTTCCCCTCGCTGTTCGCGGCGAGGCAGGTGTAAGCGCCGGCGGAGTAACGGGTCAATCCTTGGAGCACCAACGATTGATCGCTCAGGACCACACCGGCCGTCGCATTGTTCTTCAATTCTTTGCCCTGTAACCACGTAACAAATTGCGCCGTTGCGATGAGAAGAAATTCGAATTTAATGCAAGTCCGTAGTTCCTTAATTGCAATTGTAATGTAATTTGAATGCTCGCGCACCGCAAACGGAATGGGGGAGAGGGGAGGGGGGGGGGAAGAGGAGAACTGTACTGTAATAAAGAACGCGTGAAACAGTACGCACACGCGAGTTGTCTAATGGAGAACGAATTACATTTGCATAAAGCCGGGCGGGTGAGCGCGCCCCGTAGGTGCGCACCACGATGCGGGGATGTGTGTTACAACGAAACGCAAATACACCGTGAAAATGTTTTTCCATCGCGGAGGTATCGCGATGGAGGGGGGGAGGGGAACGAGGAGGGGGGCGACACGCGAGCGCGTTCGCAATTACTTACGTCTTTGAACCAGGCGAGTTTGTACACCTTCGGATTCGCCCGCACTATACACTCGAAGTACACGTCGTCGCCCTCTTTGATGTCATCCGGATTCAGCGTCTCGCCCATCCTCAGGATGACCACCGGCTGGTATTGTACGTCAAGCCGCCACTTGTCCTCCAGCGCGCTGTCCGGTATAGCAGGATTTTCCGCGCGGCATGTCAAATATTTACCGTCGTCCTCTATAGTTGGCATGAATCTGAGGATGCTCAGGCTCTGATTGTTCTCGAGCGGATACTGCAATTAAATATGCACGTTGATTCCGAAATCGGAATGCGCCGCGCGACGTGGCCGTGCGGCACGCGATGCCGGAAATATGAATTTGATTTCGGCATCGATCTCTCCCAGTATTGCAATTACCGAGTGACGCAGTTGTTTTATGAATCAAATCGTCTCGACGTAACGATTGTTTGTGAAACGATTAAGCGTATCGATTTGGGAATGTAAAAAACTATTTCGCACATTTCGTATAACATGGGAATTTTCTGAAAAATGATAGATTTTCTCGGAAAAAAATCTTAATTCGTGTAAATTCGGAAAATTTGCGCGGCGCTTATATATTCATAATCGTATTCACTTTGCAGAATTAATTGAGACAGATAACTTTTACGATAGCCAGATTGAAAAGTGACGCAGTTGATTTACGAATCAACTTTAATCAAATCATCTCGACGTAACGATTGTTTGTGAAACAATTAAGCGTATCAATCTGGGAATGTAAAAAACTATTTTGCACATTTCGTATAACAGGAATTTTCTGAAAAAATGATAGATTTTCTCGGAAAAAAATCTTAATTCGTGTGAATTCGGAAAATTTGCGCGGCGCTTATAGTATATTCATAATCGTATCCACTTTGCAGAATTAATTGAGACAGATAACTTTTATGATAGCCAGATTAAAAAGTGACGCAGTTGATTTACGAATCAAATCGTCTCGACGTAGCGATTGTTTGTGAAACGATTAAGCGTATCGATCTGGAAATGTAAAAAACTATTTTGCACATTTCGTATAACGTATAGGAATTTTCTGAAAAATGATAGATTTTCTCGGAAAAAATCTTAATTCGTGTGAATTCGGAAAATTTACGCGGCGCTTGTATATTCATAATCGTATCCACTTTGCAGAATTAATTAAGACAGATAACTTTTACGATAGCCGGATTAAAAAGTGGGACGGCTGGCGATCGATCGGCGGATAAGCTAATCACAGCCCATTAACAAACTCCGCTATCTTAAACACGATTCGCACATTTCTCATTTCCTGCGTCGAAAGCGCCATTCCATTTTTCATGCGGCGTCACGCGTTTGCTGCTAATATTAATTTAACATCGTTGGAAGCTGTTAGGCCAAAGTGATGCCGAAATAAAAGAGAGCGCCGGGGATTAACGGTTTTTTCAAGATTTATGATGCTTAGAGCAACGACGGGAAATGGAGGTCGGGAGCGGGTGCGGGTCACATCGCTGACGCTTCCTCTCTCCATCACGTCGCGTTCCTCCCGCTTTCACGATGTCATTTTAATGATAGCGCCATCGGGCATATACATCGGAAAAGCCGCGTATCCGCATCAGTATCGCGAATACGATGAATGGAAGTAATGGTTCGTCAGGATGAATGTGGTACGTTGCTGTCTCTCACTCTCTTATACACTCTCCTCTACCGCGGCTCGTCTCCCTCCCTCGCCACTCCGTTTTCCCTATCTCTCGCGCATTTTTTTTTTGTAAGCTTCGCTGCGTTGTACTTTCAGTGCGCCTCAGTGCGACGCGCGATCGAATTTTCCGATAAAACCCTCCGGACAGTCCAACACACGGGCATCGATATATTGCGCAGGTAGATCGTACGCGAACTGACGTTACGGTCACAACGTTTCGCATACGTCGACCGAATGTTACCGGCGGTAGTCCTTTTTTTAAAGCCGCGATTTTTCTAAGAGGATGCAAACGCATCCCCGCATGGATATATGCAGAAACGTTTAACTCAATCGATCTTGCGCGTTTACGCAGATAAGCTCGGACTACCGAATCCGATGATATATGTATAAGTATATACCGATCACTTTTTCATACTCTCGTGAAAAATAACGAATCTATAACAATATTAACATCCTGAAATACAAGCGAAACGCAGAATAAAATCAACACTTGAAATGTCATTGGCTGATAGAATCGGTGCGGTGATCTTTAAGCAGTAATTTTTATAAGAAATTAATTAACATCAATTAATATTGCACACATATAACAAATGTTTCGGCACACGTATATGCAATATTAATTTATGTTAATTAATTTCTTCTTAAGATTATTGCGCCCAACAATTATCGCGCCGATTCCTATTACAGCCGATGACTTCTCAAGTGTTGATTATATTTGCAAATCCGTTGGTTTAATTTTTAACAGAAAAGAATACAGAATTGCAAGAGACAGACACGGTCATTTCTCAGTGTCACGACAAAGATTGCGAGGCCGAAAAATAAGAAAGGTTTTCTCTCACATCACACATAGGAATGAGGGAGATATTCTTTCATAAAAATTTGTGCGGCATTTCCAATTTGTAACGCACTAAAATCTTCGCGAGGAACAAATATATTTATCTAACGTAAACGTAATATGAAAAAATTCATAATACATCTTTTTGTGAAATATCCCCGGTGTTATCGCGTTATATATATACGCGGTAATGGTTGTCACGAGTGCTTCAAACATTTTCGCTCGCAGGTAATCATGAAATAATGACGCAGTAAAAATATATGATATAAGCATAAAACGGTAATGCTCGCTCTGTTGCCATAGCCACCGTTAAAATTCTGATACGGAAATGACGGCTGAATATTTTTCACCAGCGAAGCTTTAATACACTTTTGCGTATTATTGTGATCTAGGCAATGTAATAGAAATGACAAAAATTTCGAACTATTTTAACGTATATTCGCTGTGATCTGTGTAGATTTTAAATAAAATAAAATAATTTCTTATAGAGGAGAGTCCCCTATTATGAGATAAGCTCTATAAAATATAAAATAGCGAGGTTTTTGCTAAATTAATAAGCGCCATTTGTTAATTCCATCATGAACTTATTGCTCTTAGATGAAATCTATTTGTTAGTACAAAATTCATTATTAGATTGTGCGTGTAGTCGTTGCAAAAAAGATTTGTGAAATTGGATGTTATCAAGTTTTATTAGGGTAAGTCTTTAAATCTTGTTTATTATAAATAAATATTTGGTAATAAATTCTGCATGCAGTTATAGAATAAGATCGTATTAATAGGAAAATAAGATTTATGTTAAATTGTTTAATTGTAGTAGTTATAAATTTGGTGATCGTGAAACCGCAAAGGTGTTAGGGGCTTGAAATATGAGATACTCCTATGATATGAGATAACCTATGCTCCTATGCTCGAATCTGCTATGCTACGATCGTTGCTGGAGTATGAAGGTTATTATGCAATAAAAAGAATAAAGTAATATTTATAAAAACAATAAATTTAATAAAAATAGTAAAAGTATAACAGTAATAAAAAAGATCAGCTACTCATACTAGACACGCACTGGTTACGCTGGAAATATTGGAGATAAGTGGGTTTGCGATAAATTTCTCCATTACTTTTGTATTTCAAAAACATTAAAGTTTTCTAATCACAACACTGATGTATTTTGTACTCTATTTAGCGATTTCTCGGAGTATCTCATATTAGAAGCATATTTTTTTCTATTTTGCATAAAGCTTTTTTTTGAAATTTTTTTAATTTTCAGAAAAAAAGTACATTCAACTTGGATTTTACATTTCAGTATCTTATATAGTGTCTTAAATTCTACTCAAAATAACCGTTCCGTTACATTTTTTAATTCTTCCGACAATTACATAAAATGAACTCGGTATCTCATAACACTCTCATTTATAAAGTTATTAAGAATTCTAATGCTAGACGGAATTGTTAATATTTTACTACGGAAACTTACATTATTAGGATCAATTACGTTATGTGCTGTTTCATCTGCGCGAATATATATGTGAATGGCGAAATTATCATTTATTGCTTTATTACTGTTAACAAACCACAGCTACAGTATCGACCGGTTTGCATGTCGCTTTAATATCTATGCATAATTATCTTGAATATTATAACATCATGAATATGCGTTATAGATACTATATCATTTAATGATCACAAAGACACGGATGAATGTTTCATATTTGCCATTTCAATTGTTAAACTTCAATGACTACCGACGGTGTTGCATTAATTCAGAAACGATGACAAAAACGATCGTTATTTATTGATTCGATACAATATCGAGCGTATATGGTAATATTTTTAATATGAAAAAAAAAAGAATATAAGAGAGACAAACTCGCGAATGCGCACGACACGAATTCGCGGAATAAATAGCTCGCTGAAGTTAAAGAAGGGCAGTTGTATTTGGGGGAAACGTTTAAAAAATTTAGCGTTCTCAGGTATTACTGAAACATTTCGTGCTACGGGCGGTGAACGGCAGCATCTATACGTCGAAAATAAGAAAAGAAAGTTAAGGCTCGAAAGTTTATCAAGCGAAGATCCACTGGATCGTTCGCGAACTTCTGTGCTTTCTCTGTCACCACGGAAGGAGGTACGTCGAGGATCGAGACGACGCGACGACGAACATCAGAGGAACGGGGGGAGATGAGGAGGGGGAAGGGAGCGCGAGAAGTCGCCCGCAAGAAAAACGAAATAACTGCATCCTAACTTCTGGACGAATCGTCGTAAACTGCGGCAAGTTACGGGACGTCGAATTCAAGAATTTTCCCCCGAATTGTGCGGCGCACTTCAGCAATGCTTTTCCGCTAACCGTTTTCAGGTCCCGACGACACGAATGTTCGCATCCGGCCGACGACGCGACGCGGACGGCGGGAGGCAACATAAAAACACTCGGCGCAACTTTTACCGAATTATAGGGTACTCGAGAGACGAATCGTTGGATCAACTCTACACTCTCTTTCGCAGGATGCGTAAGCAATTCTGCCGACTTTTTTTGTCACCCAAGATCGAACACTTTGAGATTCCGAAAATCGCTCGTAAAATTATATATTATTGAATCCATAGTATATCTGCGTAGTTGATAGTCGCAATGTTAATCCGATCAAGATGTCGTCTAGCAAATTTAATACATGTAATGAAAAAGATAATCTCCACTTTACGTTGTAATAGACTTACTGAAATAAGAATTGTTTAAAATATTTCTGCAAAATCAAGAAAAAGATTTATATACCGCAAGTCCAATGCTTGAATTTAGTCAATCAATTTTATTCGCATCATTTTATAATAAGAGCATTATAAATTTGCTTTCATCGGCAAGTTACAGACTGAGTGTCGACGTTTAACATTTTCAAATAAAAAGTTTGAGAGAAGTACTCTTTATCGAATATGGCCAAGAATGTTTGCCCTCCCTTTCGCATTTAAATAACGCAGCCACTTTTAGAATGATGTCTATTTTCATTCCGCTGTACAGCACATTATTTATTACACATTTTTTCTCATCACATAATTTACATGCAATATATAAGCAAATTACTTACGTTTGTAATCTCCGAAATGATCGGCTTGTTTGCCTTCCACCAAGTAATCACCGCGCTTGGCCGTGATCCGCTCGATCGACATTCCACATCGTAATTTTTGTCTGCTGAAACCTTCGTTTCCTTCGTCAGGATTTGAACTATCAACGGTTTTACTGCAACAATGAAAAAAATATATGTGTTGTTTTCGTGTGATTACAGTAAACTATATAGAACGCTTTATTTTTCAGGCTTTTCTATTTGCGAAAAAAGTTTCACTCCAATTTAATAAGCGGAAAAGCCTATTTTTTCGACGGAAAACAAAATGTAATTTGCATGCAACGTATAGTCGTGTATGTGTACATTTACTATTCATAGAGACGTTCTGTCATTTCAAAAAGCAGATGCGCTTGTACATAAAAAACATAATGTGTCTTATACAATGTGAGAGATTCTATTGTACTTGTAATTCTCATTTTTCTCCCTTTATTGTGCCACTTAAAAAAAAAAAGATGCACATTGCGAAGGTAAAATTATATCGTTAAGCATCGTCTCTACGAGCGCAGCCAAGTTTCTGCTATGGCGGATCTTAATTTAATCAACTTTATTTCGGATCGCTACTGTTTCGAAGTTGCCCGCCGAGTGAAATCGTGAAAATCGGCTCTTCGTTACTACAAAAGCGCTCGGACCGGGGAAAAATCCGAGAATAAGATTAAACGGTCGGAATAACGACGAAACCGGGCTATCTAATTCCGAGGGAAGCTGGAAAACGTATTCGTGAAATTATTCCGAAATTTCGTCGCCTGGCAAACTGAACGAGTTCGCGTGCGACAAAAGGATTAAAGAACCATGTGGATCGCTCAAAAATCGCGATTAAAATCTTGCTCTTCGCGCGGTACGGGGATACATTTTAATTATTTTATTTTCAAATCCACGAGAGAATCGTACTGATTCCTAAAATTAAAGTCTGCAATCATAAGATTAAAAAGAAAATAAGCGTATTAAATATAAAACAGTGTGTCATTCATCTTATTTTTGTTGCTGCTTATCTTCATTCTTTGTGTTACTGAAATACATATAAAACGTTTTCTTTATCTTTGCTATGAAAAATTCATAGCCCTTTGCACTTTTTTTATAACTGAGAGTAATTAATTTTATTATGATTATTTCAAGCTCCACTTTTGCGGAAATTTTGTGGTCTGCTATATGTAGAATAAGAGTAGAGTTCCAATAACGTTGATACTAAATGGCACAAACGGCACAAAACAGTAAATATTTTTCAAGTATCAAAATATCAATGGAAAATTGTAATCGTATTGTTGTAGGTACGTGACTAATCTGCGTCACTAATGTTAGCCTTAGCTCAATCTATTTTAATTTCAAGGTTACACAGATTATAAATACTATTTGTGTCTAAAATTATAATATCTTTCTATATTAGATGACATGACCGCACAGATGTAAAAAACACGCGATTATCTAAAAATAATTAACAGATAAATTTAAAAAATATTATTCTTAAAATATATATAAATAAATAAAATATATAAATATTAACTCTTGGCGATTTTTTGTTGATTATCGATTATCAAATCTAAATTTTAAATACTTTGCTTTTTAAATAATTTCACTTTTGATCCTAATATCATGTAACGAATAGCTATCATATTTATTAGAAAGACATAATTCTACAATTACAAAATTACTTCGCTTATACGAAGTCTATATACATTAATACGAAGATTGTTCAAAAATACTCCACAATTTTTTTCTCAGAATATATTTACTCAAAATAGTTGCAATTTGTTGACAATATAAAAAAAATGTTTCTTTTCTTCACGTACTATTTTTTTCTATATAATTTCCATCAACTTGAACGACCTTATGCCAGCGTGAAACAAGTGCATGTACTCTTTGCCGATACCAGTCCTACACGTAACCACATTTTCGCTGCAAGAATTACGCTCTCATCGTCTTCAAAGTGAGTCTCACGCAAAGCTTCTTTAAGAGGCTCCTAAGAGATGGAAGTCAGAGGGAGGGGAGGCCACATCTGAGTTGTAAGGTGGATGGGGCAACATTGTTCAACCCTACAGCCCGGATCAGGTCCCCTCAGACTCTCTTTGGGACTCTTAAAGAAGCTTTGCGTGGGACACACTTTAGTGTGTGAAGATGAGGAGAGCGTAATTCATGCAATGAAAACGTGGTTACGTGCACCGGACAAGAGCTGGTACCGGCAGGGAATACATATGCACTTGTTTCACGCTGGCGTATAAGGCCGTACAAGTTAATGGAGAGACTATATAAAAAAAATAGTACGTTAAAAGAAACATTCTTTTATATTGTCACCAAATTGCAACTATTTCGAATAAATACGCACGGCAAGAACGATTTTATTGAAAGACCTAAAAATTTTGCTAAAAACAGATCTGAAAATAATTTTTTATTGAATCACCACAATAATTTGTTGGAATGTTAAAATTGAGAAGTATTGCTATAAAACGTTTTGATATTCTAGCAATCATTTTGACTTTCGCACAAAATAATTTTGCTTATTGAACAAAAATTATTTTCAGATCTGGATTCAGCAAAATTGTTCTTTCCGTGTATTCTTATAAATATATAAATGTAGAAAAAAATTGTGTGGTACAACCCTCGTATATTCGCGTACGTTTTATGATATCTTATTCGCTTGTAGCAATTACTTGATATTTATATCGATCGAAAGCAATCAAATATAGCCAATTCATAATGTAACGTCGGTGTCACATGGTTGTCCTCGTAAATTCCAACGCAAGCTCATGCGTCGCCACGGCTAACCATTCGTACAACCCCTAATTGCCATTAGTTGGTAGCCACTTCTCTGAAATTGGTTCCTCCGTTTCACTCGGTGCCCTCGTGCTGACGCACACACGCACAATTGCCCCTGTCTACGAATAGAGTCTGATGACCCTCGCGCCATACATTTGCTGCACTTATAGAGAAACTTTCGTTCAATCGTGTAATCAACTTCCGCGTCCGCTCATCACTACGATCACGAGTCCATTTTGATCAGCTTTATTATCGCGAGGGATAATATGATTTAGTAGCGGAAATCGCTTTACTCAGCGCGCACACACTAAAGAATCGGTATATGCAGCAACCTATTCCGAGTAGACATTTCGGGAGGGATTAGGTTTTAATTAAAACATGTCTCTCGAGAGAGCGCGATCACGTTCGAGAGTATAGCTTAGTTTCGCGCAAGGTGGGTCTGAAATACGTATGAGGGTCCGACAGCAGCGATGGCACAGATTGTATCGACGGGGGCATCACTCGATGCGCCGCGCCGGGCCGGGGCATCGCGTGTACGTCGATCGTGATCGCGCCTCACGGTGCCACACCGGCGAGGGGAAGGGATTGTATCTATTTTCGACGTTCAATTAGAACAAAAGCACGCAAAGCCGGCGTGCAATTGCCTGAACGAGTAGCGATGGTTGATTCTCGCTACGATATCCGGAAATCAACCCTTCGACATTGCGGTTCTATTGTCATTCGTAATTCAGCGATCGCCGACAGCTTTGACAAATTGCTCCACTCTATCAGTCGTTTCGGATATCGTGTTCGCACGCTTGGCTTCAAGTTATTTTCCTCAAGCGGGCCTTGTTAACACAGCTGCTCACGACGACTCTTCGCTCGAAAATTCAGGACGAAAGGGATGCGCACGATAAAAGCCGCGCGGGACATCCCGCAGGAGGCATGAATGAAAATCTCGAAGATTGTATACATATTCTTATGTCTAAAAAATGTCGCACTCAATTCAGCATGTCAATCAATCAACCTCCTCACAACGTCACACCCAAAAAATATATTCTATTTATAAAGTGAAATTTTCTCTAATCCCATATTCTAAGCGAAAACTTTTGCAGAAAGAGTATTCCTCTTCCAATAAAGTGAATTGTTCATTTAAAATCTATTAGATATTATTTTTCGCTTTTCTTCTTGCATTAAGAGAAATATGTTTATTTCAAGCCCTCTTACGTGCGATATAAGTAACACGAAAAGCAATGTATCGCTGCGTTCTGCTGTGACGATTGATTGAAGTGTTGCGTTGCATTTGCGAAAACATAGATCCAGTAAAGCTGCGTTCCGTTATTTATTGCAAATACTGAAAAACTACTGTATAAAAATATGAATCATAAATATAGATTTACAGTACAAAATTTGTACTGTATAATGCAAGACGTATAACTATTAGAATATTGTGCACAGAATATTTTCCTCTTAATTTCAGAGGCCATCCTCTTGAGGCCATATACAAGAATAAAATCCTCTGAGATTTAGCGGATTCCACTATAATATTAAAATTTTTTTTTTTTGGGTGCACAATATACGACGAAGTATAATGCGCGTCGTTTTCTTTCTTCGCACCTCAAGAGTCCCTTTTATCGTTAACCGTAATGCGCACTCATCCAAGTTTTACTCGCGTATTATCGAGGCGCCGCGCGGCGCGATGCCATTTGCGTATACCGGCGAACAAACGTCCGTGAATTAACGCTCGCCGCGGGCCGAGCCTTAATAGTTTCACGCGTGTTTACCGTCGCGTTATCGTTTTGTTCGAATAATTCCCTCTACGAGCCGACGCCCCCGGCCTACGCGGCGCGGCGCGGCAGCGCACTTATCAAACCCGGGCGCGCTCTTCGCACCTTCCCATTTATTTCCAGGCGGTTGAGCGGCCACCTGCTCCGTCGGAAAGCGCGGCGCGGCGCGATTCTCGACCGCGCCGACCGAAATCAATGCTTTCTCCCCTCCCCCTCCCCCCTGCCCGAGAAACCGTGCGTCGACGACGAAAAGCGCACGAGTAGAAATCTCCCGGTCTTATCGGGGAACGAAGTCGAGATAGCTTCCTTGATGAATGACGATGATGTCCTCGCGCGTCATGAAAACGACGCGACCCAGCTGGGATTATTAATTATTATCAAGCAAACAGTTTCCGGCGCGCATGACCACGCACGAATGAACGTCGCGCGCACACGCGTCCGCGAAGGTACGTGCTCGTGTGTGCGTGTATGTGTGCGTGTGTGTGCGTGTGCATGCATGCGCTGCGCCGATGCACGCACGACCGGATACGAATTAGTGCAATTGCAATTGGCAAGTCTAGCGAGCTCGTTTATCACATTGATACCGACTTTAATTCTTAACC